AATGAAGAGAAATACTTAGCTGGATATATGGGGTGCCTCTCCCACAAGCTGGTTGATGGTAAACCTAGCCAAGGACAAAGTGCAAGGCTAGTATACCCAAGACAGGACAACCTACCTTTCTCATGGTTCTTTCATTGTTTGTCGATGACGTGCTTTGTTTGGGAGGGTTGCCTCCCCCACACTTGAATTTTGTTACCCTACATAAGCAACATGTGGAGACAAGCACCAACAAAAGACTAGAGAAATCCTGGCAATATACTTTAGCAGGTAAACATGGTTTTTTCACAGAGTAAAGAAGAGTTGATTGAAAATGTTATTTGAATTCTATAAAGTTAATTATATCCAATTCTTCTTCTAGCAATCGTGTGTCATGGAAAACTTTTAAACGCTGACAATTTATCTTGAAAAGTGTACATTCATCATTTTGAAGTGTGACCGCTCCATGAGACGATGTGCTAATTACCATGTAAGGTCCTTCCCATTTGCTTCGTAGTTTCCCATGTCCGAACAACTTCACCCTAGAGTTGAAAAGCAACACCTTGTCACCTAGTTTGAATTCCTTCTTTTTCAATCTTTTGTCGTGCCACCTTTTCGTCCTCTTTGTAGAGTTTTGCATTATGATATGCCTTTTCTCACCATTCCTCTAGCTCAGAGAGTTGCATTTTTCTTTTCTTCCCGGCTGCTTCAAAGTCCATGTTCCACCTTTTTATGGCCCAATGTGCTTTGAATTCAAACTCGACAGGTAAGTGACATGTCTTCCCATAGATGACTTGGTATGGTGACATTCCAAGAGGTGTTTTGTAGGCTGTTCTATAAGCCCATAGTGCTCTGTATAACTTATCCTTCCATGTTGTCCCCATCTCATTAACAGTCTTCTACAGAATGTTCTTGATTTGCTTGTTTGACGTTTCTGCTTGTTCGCTAGTTTGAGGATGATATGGTGTCGTGATGTTATGACAGACCCCATGATCGGATAAGAAGCGTCGGAACTTCCTATCAATGAAGTGAGGACCACCGTCACTAATTACCATGTGTGGAACTCCAAAGCGTAGAAAGATAAGTCTCAGAAAACATTCTCTTAGCGTTATTGGAATCTGTAGCTCGACATGGTAAAGCTTCAACCCAATTTGAGACATAGTCGACTGCTACCAGGATATATTCACACTGCCGGGATTTTGGAAATGGTCCCATGTAGTTGATTCCCCAAACATCAAAGAGTTCTAACTAGAGGTTGGTGGTGAGTGGCATGGCGTCTCTTGCATTAATACTCCCATGTTTCTGACACGGGATGCACCTTCATATGAATTCTTTGGTGTCATCGTACATGGTTGGCTAGAAAAATCCACTTTGCCAGATCTTAGCATTAGTGCGAAAAGCCCCATAATGTCATCCATACGGTGATGAGTGGCATCTTTCAATGATCCTGGTTGCTTCCTCGGCCGGAACACACCTCCGGAGTAGTCCATCAGAGCAAACTCAGTAGAGGTACCGTTCATCCCATAGGTGGAGGCAACTTTCATGAATGAGTGTAACAACCTAGGTTTTTCCAATAACCAAAAATCGGAACTTAAATTTTTTTTCTAACAAAACAAAAGCATGGTGAGTGTGCATACTAGAAAACCACCCTTGTAGTTGCACAAATATATCCCAAGCTAGCATGTTTGAGCATTTGCATATTAAACAACTTATGAGTTGCATCTTCTTGATTTTATGTGATGAAATAAAATCAACTAAACCCTTATAATAAACTTGATGTGTGAAGGTTGCTAACCCTTGGTTTGGATCCTAGAACCCTAGATGACACCTAGTGGACCCCACAAGGGTGTATATATGTTGGCAGCACATGTATACATGCATGGGAGCCTAAGAAGTAGAATGGAAAATAGAAAAGGAATAAGAAAAAGGGAGCAAAGGAGAAGGAGGAAGCAACCCAGCTGGCCTAGCCCATAGCCGCTATGCCCTAGCTCCCCGCGCCCCGCTCATGCGCGCGCTCGCATAGGCCGAGTCGGCCCAACCGCCGTCGTGGCCCAGCTCGCCTGAGCCGCTGGCCGGTGGACCCTGCCTATCGTCCCCTTCCCCTTCTCCCTCTCTGCTTTTCGCCATGCCCGGTACCGGTGTGAAGCCGAGAACGGCAAAGGCCATCACGGCCGTTCCCGTCCACTACCGCCTCGCGCACGCCCTGGATGGCCGCCACGTCGGCGATCCGCGCCACCACCTGCCCCAGCTGAAGCGAGCACCATGGCCCGTGCCCTGTCGCATCCCTCTGCCACCACCGTACCTGCCTTGACCGGTGCCATTTGAAAACGGGAGCGCCAAGACAGCCGCGCTCACCCCTGTTCCCCAGAACCCTAGCCAAACCCCCCCCGATCACCCTACACGTGTCCCTTCCCTGCTCCCCACCGTCCGCCGATGCCATGATCAAGCTCGAGCTATAAAAGCCCCAAGCCGGTGCCCTAGCCCTTCTCCCATCCACTCGTCGCCACTGGTGCCATCAAGCCATTCAATGCTTCGGACCATAATTGGAATATCACATAATTTGTATTGTTGTCTTGTGCTTGAACTGGATTGTTTCCAATAATAATCCTCACAAGCTTTGACAACCATCTTTAGAATTCATACTTGCAAGCTTTAGTTGAGACCAAACCATATGCAAACCATCATGTCTTATTTATTTGAGAACACACTTGCTTGCAAATTCACGCTTCACAATAATCAAACTTGGACTCAATCTCTCAATTATATTTGATCACAACACACAATATCAGTCCAACATGTAATGATAATCCTGGGACTAAACACCTACAAGTCTCATGAATATTGTTTTTTACGGCAATCTCATGAATATTGTTAGTCCCTTAGTCGTGTTGTCATTCAATTCACTGAAACCCACTTACGGCCTAGATGCGCTTTTGCCTCATTCTTATCTCATCCATCGGATGCTTTGTTCTATGTTACTGTTGCACAAGTAGCTTTGTTTCTCTTGTGAGGGAGGCCCACACATAGTTTGTTTTTTATTTTTTGGGAACCACACCCATTTCTTCTTGTCATCTTCATTTCGGTGAGTCTTATCCGTCGCTTCAGGGAGGTGAGGTGTCTTGAAGGCGACTTCGAGGCGATATCTAGGATTCGTCATTTTAGGCATTTCCATTGATTTTGTCTTGTTATTTCTCTCACGTGAATACGTGATGCTCAAGCTAGTCCCCCACGCGTGTCCTGTTTTGGCTTGTCTGCTCCTATTGTATTTGTTCTCGCCGATTTGTTCCTTACTACATGCGGATTTGAGGGTACCTGATCCTCATTTTCCTACATGTTTAGATATTGGTAAAATGTTGGGTGTGTCGATCGGCAACGATGGTGTGCGATGGTCTTCTATCAATAAGGTTTGTCCATTTGTTCTTTTGCCAACCTTTTCCCATTCGCCTACCCAACCGAATCCTTTTATCATCCATCGGGATTTGGTAAATATCACATGGTCTGAGCAACATCAGCGCCGACAGAATCGACTGTGAGTTCCTCTAGGCCATGTTTGATTTGTGCTTAGGTTTGGGGGAATGGTGGTGCGATTGCACGCGCGTGTGTGTTGCTCCTATTATTGTTGATTGTTTTGTATAGTTTTCCGTGAATTGTTTCTTCCAGACAACTTTGATGAGAGTCTATGTGGACTTTTGTGCCTGCAATTGTGCAATATTTCTTCTTTCGACTTGGAGCATATGTTTTTTCTATCCATTCCATGGTCAAGATTCTGGTGTGGTCATTGTTTTAGGTTTAAACGGATATGATTCTACTGTTGATAGGAAATCCTCGATGGTAGTTTGTTTGTTATGGTGTTCTTAGAGTTTGCCTTTTAGTTGGCAGTTTTTTGTTGCTAGGGGTTGTTATTATAGTTTGGTCCCTAATTGGCAGCTTGTTATTTTTTACTGTTGATGTTGTTATTGTTGTTAGGGATTGTTTTTATAGTTTGGCCCTTGGTTGACAGTTTGTTTTTTTCTATGTTGTTAGGGGTTGTTTCTAGTTTAGCCCTCGTTTGCACTTATTATTTTATTGTTGTTCAGGTTTGTTTTATAATTTGGCTCCATGGCTAAAAGTACTGTTCATTGATTTTTTTGAGAGAAAACAATGTTCCTTCGTCGAAACAGTATGGCTCAAAAGACTAGCGAACAGGGCCTAGCACATTTTTTTTATGTTAATCGTTATTTTTATAGTTTGGCCTCCATTTTACAACTTGTTCTTTTATATGGTCACAGTTACAAGTAGGAGTTTGTATTTTTGTTGCTTCGTCATTAGGGCCGTGTAATTAGTGGTAATGATTTTTAGGACTTTTTATATTTAATTTGTCCTTATTTTTTAGACGTGTTTTCTTACTTCTGCAACTGCATTTTTCACGTAAGAAATATGTTTTTTTTTTGTGCTGCTCCGATTAAGAAGCCTGGCATGTTCATTCATACGTCTGGAGCATGGGCCAAAATGCACTCGAACAGCAGACAGCAGACGGAACAACAAAATACAATAGGCCGTCAGATTGATACTCCTACATCTGTAGTAAACACTCGGTCGTTGCAGCCTTTGAACACTCAACAGGCAACAACAGGTAGACAGTACACAAAAAAAAAATCCTATCCTATTTTATCCATCCATGGCACGGTGGCACCACGCTCTGCTCCTGGTCCGCATCTTCTCGTCGAGCGTCGCCGCCTCGCGTATCAGGATCACCCGAGCAGGCTAGCAGCACGCGTGGTCATCTCTAGGCTGGAGGACGCGGTCGCTTCCATCCTCTCCTCCGCCTCCGCGCTCCGCTCCCGTTCACGGGAAGCCTCTCACCTCCTCGTCAGCGGCCGCTGGGGCACCGGCTACCCGACCTCCTCCGCCTCGCTCCAGCGCTCCCTCACCGCTGCCAGCACGATGGCGCTTGGGTTTCGCTCCTCCGCCTCCTGCAATTGTTGTCTCAGCGCTGGCGGGAGCAGGTAACAGCGTTAGAGAGAGAAGCCACCACTGGGTAAGCCATGGCCGCCACATCCGTCAAGGTCGCGCGCCTCACCACCCTCGCGCATTTCTCTCCGACTCCAACCCCCTTCGGTCCGAAGTCCACCAAGCACAGAGCTAGGGCCCCACCACCCATCTCCATCTCCATGGATCCGGCCCTCGTGGACCCAGCCCACCTTCAGGCCCTTATGCTTGCCTGCGCCCACTCCTGCGCGCTCCGCCTCTCGCCGGCGCTATCAGTTTCTGCCATCGAGCCGGTCGACCTCAGCAAGCTCCGGACTGCACTTGCGCACAGCTTCATCGTCGTATCTGTCTTCTGCGGCGCTAGGTTCTTGACACACGACGGGGAAGGGGAGGGGGAGGGACAGAGATTCTTGGGCTTGGAGCTCGGGCTCGAGCGTCAGGGGGAGCGGCGACTTGTCGGATTTGGGCGCGCCGTCTCCGACCTCGGGCTCACAGCATCCGTCCATGACATCGTGGTAATCTTCTCTTTTGCAGTGAATTCGACCGTGGTAACGAACCCTGGTTGTGGGTAGAAACTATTAACTGTGTGAAACCGCTACTTTTCTATTCTGTTCTTGATAACCTCATAGGCATTAGCACGTTTTCCATCTGGCATTTCTTGCAAAAAAATTGATCTTTTTCTTTTGAATTCGTGAAGACATTCTGGATGTAATCATACTAGTATGAGTATCTTTTGAATGGTGGATGCTACATTGCTACTATGCTAGAGAAAGTGTTTAGTTGATTGAATACCATGGAACATTAACCAAAACAAGGACGAGGTTGTTTCAGTTTGCAGATTGTGGATTGCAGCCTTCAGGTTGTCACAATCTGCAAGTCGAAACAAAGCAGCCATAAGATTCTATCGATCCACAGGCCAGATTATTATGATCCAACAATATGCTTCCTACAATTTGCAAGACAAACAAACAGGACCTAAGAATACATAGCCTTGTGGAAATAAACTTTGCTTTTGTCGCAAACTTGCAATCTAATGCCTATTGATTGGAAAGTGAAGTATGGAAGAAAAACTTTCTGCATTGATGTACTTCTTTCTGTGCTTATGCATCAATAGTGTGTTATCTTGTACAAATTAACCAACTGTAAGTGAACTTCTTGTGCATTTATATTGAAAGTTTCTATGTAGCATTAAGTGCAACTTGGCAAGTCTATTTTGAATTATTGTAATGGAATTTTGTAGATTAAGGGTGTAACACCTAATGTGGCAGTCTTGCTTTGATATCTTATACTTTTATTCCATAATAGGAGGGAAAAATTATAGCCATGTCACATGTGTTCATTCATATAACTATTTTCAGTGACTACAGGTACATCCATCACTGCAGAGGAGAGGAATTGGCCAAAAGATAGTGAACAAAATTACAAGGTAACTTTTTGATTTTACCATAAAAAAATGTCACATATTATGTTCCTATTAAAGATGCTATTGATCACATTAGTTTGAGAGATCCTAGCTATGAAGCACAATTGGTTGCTGCCTACAGAAACTGAGCAATTTTTCTAACCATATTACGTGTTCGACTCAAATGATCTTTTATTTTGAATCAAGTAATCTGTCATACGTCTAATGGAGGGTCCAGATGGGAGCAGGCGGCCCATCCAGCCCAGCCGCCAAGGGGGGCAGCCGCGCCACCTGAAGGGGAAGGGCGCGCGCAGTGAGGGCGGCCCGCCGCCGCCGACATCCATATCCGGAGGATCACGAATAAAGGAAAGGGAATAGGAATAGGATCAGTTCAGATTAGGTAGATCGGGAGGAGTCCATATCTATAAGGACTTCCCTCGTTAGATTACTTAAGATGCAAGTCTCCTCAAGACTATAAATAGAGAGGCAATGTAATCATTGGGATTAAGAAAGAACGGCCTTAGGCTTATCCTTCCCTTCCCTGTCACTCTCTCCCTGCTCCATCTCTTCCTCTCCCTCTCCCTAGCGCTGCGCCCTCTCCCTGTGCCACCGCCCACAGTCCCCCCTCTAACCCTAGCCGCCACCTAGAGGCCCCCTCCCAACCGGCCTCTTACACTAGTATCCGGAGACCAAATTGATCCGATGGTCACCACCACCATGATCGCCGATGTGACGAAGCAGACCGCGACCTTCTCCACCTTCATGAACAACCGCTTCGATGAGATCAACGAGAACTTCGTCAATCTCAACGCCCGCCTGAGCAACATCGAGCGTGCACGCTCCAAAAAGGATGGTGTAGATGACATCCACAAGGTCCTCGATCGTTGGACGACGAAGTTCAACGAGCTCTTCGATGGATGTAACGATTCCCCGTCGATAACAGATCCAATTCAGCCGGAGAACAACACGTGGCTCCACACCACTGAGCAAGCAAGCGGCCACGGCGACGCCGTCGTCACCAACATCCAAACCAGATTGGATAAGAATGACGCCATCAACAGCCTCGAAGCTGAGACCAAGCAAGTCATGATCACCGCCGGCAAATCCTTCCTCAACAACAAGATGGAGGAACCTCTCTCCTCCAACACCCCGGAGATCACCATAGAGGTGTCGAACACCTTGTTCGCGGCACCGCCAGCACCACAGCCACCGCTGCTGCCATGCCTTCCCGCGCTTGGCCGGCACCCAGCCAGCCCCGGCCGGCCACCGACTTCTACAGCCGGCCTTCTGGCCGCCAGCACAGCAGGTGCCCACACCTCCACCGTCGCAATCGGCCATCTGGCCGTCGGCGCAGCAAGCGCCCCACCTCGACCACAGCAGCCGGCGCGGCAGGCGCCCCCACCTACACCACCACAGGAGTCGATCTCTTCGGCAACGACAGCGCGACCTCCACAATTACAACCCATCAAGGCTCAACTAACAACTCCCACATACGATGGCTCGATGGATCCACTGCCATGGCTCTCCAGGATGCAACTACTATCCAAGCTGCACCACGTACCTGCAGATCAACATGTTCGCCGAGACACGCTCGACGACCTCGCTCCGCCTCGACACACTGACACCATGAACAACTACATCGACAACTTTGCTGTGTACGTGCTACATGTCAGCATCACCAGCGAGCTTCATCAGATCAACCTCCTCATCGTCGGCCTGCAAGATCCACTCCAGGTGACAGTCGCACGACACCACCCAAGAGAGCTGGAGACGGCCATAGCTCTAGCGCGAGCACAGGAGCATCTCGCGCCTACAAACGGCAACGCCGCACGAGCCATCCCCAAGATCGGCGCCAACTCCGACCACACGGCACAGCGGGAAGTGGACGCCCCATCAGGCAAGATGAAACGTGACTTGGCACAACCTCCGGCAACGACTCCGACACCCCACAACACCCACGCACAGGCGCTCCTTCCACTGGTCGGCTACAACACCGAAACGACCGCGCACCCCAACGACATCACCATTGCAGCCGGTCCCAATCTCGGAGCACAGCGGGCAAGGGACGCCCCGACGGGAAGGGCGACACGGACCTCTGCTCCTCTCCCCCCCACGGCGACCCCGACACTCGACATCCCTCCACCACCAATGCTACCTCCACGTGTCAAGAACAACGCCGGCATAGTCCCTATTCTCGACGACACCATCGACCCCGCCATCATCACCCAGCTCCGCCTGGCCGCCCTGGACGAACAGGAACCCCAGATCATCTCCGCCACCATCGCAGTCAACGCAGCGACTCCAGCATGGTCGCTCCAACAAGGCGTCATCCTCTACAACGGGCGCTACTACATACTAGTGACTTCTCCGTTGTTGCAGGAGCTGCTGGAATATGTGGGAATGACAACCCCACAACTCCTACCAAACGGCTTCCACACAGCGGCATCCACACCAGCTACCCAGGTGTTCCCCTCCAGCGTCTTGCTGATTGAAGACTGGCCACAACACATCCTCTTGTCGGCAACGATCGTCTTCTTCGACAGCAATGAACAACAATTCTTCACTGTTGACGACGTCTATATTAGCAGACAACACGCTCATGGACACCCGCTCATCTCCCCAGCCGACTATGACAAGGGCGACCTCACCTTCGGCACCCTGGAGCACTTCACCACGTCACCGCCATCCAAGGTGGCGACAGCACTGTGTCGACGCATCATGGGACAAGTCGATGCTGGACAGGTATACAATTTTCCACGACCTCCACGGGTCATGTAGGTGCTACACCTCACGTGGATCCTGCCAGCGACACCTTAGATGCGGCATACCACGCCCATGGACCACCAACAGGCCTAGGAACCTTCAACTACTACATCTTCGGCTACGTCGGCTCCTGCCAGTATTGCTTCGAGTTCTCCGCCAACAACAACACTGACCCCAAGCAACAGCACGATACTCTGGGGCACCTCCTCATTCGTATCGAGGAGATACCTTGGGGTACTAACCTCCCCGTCAACGGCTTCAACGACTGGACAATGATTCAGTGCGAGGACGTGCTGATCGGAGAAGGGGGGAGTGGTGTCATACGTCTAATAGAGGGTCCAAATGGGAGCAGGCGGCCCATCCAGCCCAGCTGCCAAGGGGGGCAGCCGCGTCACCTGAAGGGGAAGGGCGCGCACGGTGAGGGCGGCCCCGCCACCGACGACATCCATATCCGGAGGATCGTGAATAAAGGAAAGGGAATAGGAATAGGATCGATTCAGATTAGGTAGATCGGGAGGAGTCCATATCTATAAGGACTTTCCTTGTTAGATTACTTAAGATGCAAATCTCCTCAGGACTATAAATAGAGAGGCAATGTAATCATTGGGATTAAGAAAGAACAGCCTCAGGCTTATCCTTCCCTTCCCTCTCCCTCTCTCCCTGCGCCATCTCTTCCTCTCCCTCTCCCTAGCGCCGCGCCCTCTCCCTGTGCCGCCGCCCACAGTCCCCTCTCTAACCCTTGCCGCCACCTAGAGGCCCCCTCCCAACCGGCCTCTTACATAATCATAGGGAAAAGATTAATATATGCAGTTTTAAATGCTTCATTGATTAGTAAAAATACTTGTAATCTGTGATAAATTGTTTTCTGGTAAAAAGTTTGCTTGATCTAATAGTTCATTGCTGGAAAATATCTGCAGGGTACTTCACAGCAGAGGTATATATGACATCTCTGCATTATGTACAGAAAAGGAGAGGTATGGCATTATTACCTAGTTTTGTAGACATCACGTGAGTTTCATTATTTTCTGCAGTTTTAATGCCATATCATTATCACTAAATATAAATACGTGGATTGCTTAATCTTCACCAATGTATGACGACATTTATTCATATATTATGGTTCCTTTTGCAGGCCCTTTTTTGAAGCTTGTGGATTTGGTGATGATATGATGGGTTCAACAACAATGTTGTATACTAGAAAAGCGCACAAATAGTTCATTAAAAAATTGTCAATTGGCATAATGTACTTGGTTGACATGATAACTTATCTGTTGGTCTTCACTGCTGATATTTGAAAGCATTACTGCCAGAAAAGGGAGTTATGAGATGCAGCGCACCTTTTGGGACAAATAACCACAAGAATTTGGATAGGCCGTTTTATGCCATGTTAATATGTGTGCAAAATAGCGTTACCCAGTGTTTTTCAGCTACCACAGACTGCAAAACTCACTGTGATTTAGACAGACATGTATATATGAAATGAATGGTTCTACAGATATAGATATTGTGCCTCTTTTCACAATTTTTTAGTACATGTTACCACAGTTTGCAAATATGCTTGAACAAAGAGTATATATCATAAGGAGCAAACTCTGAACTTTTATATGTTCTGGATTCATGTAAAGATGTGATTGTTGTGTGTGTGGGTGGGGGGGGGGGGGTAGTTCCTTTTTATGAGGATTTGGATCACGATTTAGGACCCCAATTGAAATAAGCCCTTATTGGTATACTGCAATCTCCTGTGGTCAATTAGTTTGCTGCTACAACAAAAAATAGTAGAGGAATAAACCAATAAGATCACTTAATCAAGAGGGATAATGTACATTTCCAGCTACATTCACAAGGATTGAAGGGAGGTTGATACAGATCAGTTATTCTCTATATGGTACCAGTTCTATCAGATGCCTTCTAAGAGACAACTGAGTTATTCTACAAATCCAACAATGCAATATAGTTCCAATTAGAACCCTAAATCTTCCACAATAAGAGCTGCCAATCTATAATTGTTCTATTGTGTTACTACAATTTCTCTTCTTATCTCCAGTCTGTGAATCTGTGTTTGCATGTAGAGATCATACAGCTGCTTGAAATACTTGTTCATTTGGATTTGCAAATATTGTCCGTAGAAAATTTTCAACGACAGACAGGAATTCCTCAGGTCTTTCCTCCTGGGGCAAGTGACCGCAACTCTTGATCAACTCAAATGTTGCTCCAGGTATCGCGCGTGCTACACGCTCAGCATTCCAAGCAGGAACGATGCGGTCAGTGTCACCTGTCACCACTAGCACTGCAATGATATGGCAAATTATCAGAATTCAGGATTAATTTTTTTTATGAGTCACATATTACATTGCTCTAAATCCTTATCTAGAGTTTTTTTTTTTAAGTTTCTTGACAGAAATACATTACCACAATTTTGTGGAGCGGTAGAACTAGTTTCTCTTAATTGTGGGTTCTCAAAAGAAAGAGAGAATAACCTGGGCATGAGATCTCAGAAAGCCTCTTTGAAACTGGTGCTCTTGATGCAGACGCAGAATCTATGATCATGGATATGGTGTGCTCCAGAAGAGCTGTCTCCCAGCCCTTGGATTTTAGAGGCTGAAAAGGCCAGCAGAGTTCACATATAGTACAGCACAATTAACAATTTGATAGTTGGAGAGTTCTACTAATTGAGGCGAAATGTCACCTTTGTGTAACCTTGTATGACATGATCAGTTACTTTGCTTGGGTCATACCATGCATTCCGGACGCCCAGTACACCAAATTTATCCATCACCCATCTTACCTTAGGTCACCGAAGTCCAACCATGAAAACGTAAAATTTTGAATGCACCCATGAACATATATCAGATAAAAGCTCATGTGTTGAGTAAACGTCTTCTTTTGTGCACATTTTAAGATTTCGAAACTGTATTACTTCCTAGCAGCACCGATTCATGTATCATCATGAAAGTAATTAGACTAGTTAGCACTCAAACAGATTTCAGCTTATTAAACCAAAGTAAATAGGGCAAGTGGAGCATCTGAAGAGCTGTTGGCTTCAGAGTACACTAATAATAGCAGCTACGCAATGCTATAGTTGCTGAAGTCTAAAACAAATTAAATTTGAGATTCTATAATTCTGAGCCAGTAAACCTAATAAAAAAACAAATTGCTTGTTAAATTTGCAAGTAGGTTAGGAATTAGCTCTACAAAAAAAAAAAAAAAAAAAAACTTACCAGTGCTGCACCCAATGATGACCGAAGAAAAGCAACCAGATCTTTAATACAGAAAGACCGAACCACACCTTGTATTGCTGTGATAATCTTGAAAACAAGCCCTGCAATGTGCTTCCATAGCTGAAGAAATCCTCCCCAAATCCTAGCAAACAAATTTGGAGGCGAATTTTCATCATTGGGAACGTTCTGTGTTTGCTGCCCTTCTTGTTCCCCTGACTGATCCTCTTTCACCACCTTCCTGGGTGCAAATATAGCCGGTGCAACTAGCACAAGAGCAGCCACCCGTTCCGGTGCCTCAAAGTATGCATCCAGTGCTATAAGGGAACCAGCTGAGTGCCTGGGGCAATGATCTTCATACACGTCCATATGACAATCACACAAAAACAATGCAGATAGACAGAGCTAGGTAGAGAAGCAAGCAATTCAGGTTTGGGATTAGTACTCGTACCCAACAAGTATGGCCTTCTCAGCGCCAAGGTAGTCGATGAACGCCAGCGTTTCCATGACCGAGAACGCCATGGAGTAAGGGTTGAGAGGCTTGGTGTCATCAGCGGACCAGCTGGCCCGGGATGTCAGCCCAAACGCCGGCCGGTCGAACGCAAGAACCTTGGCACGGACAATGCGGGCGACAGGCCGCATCACACGGCTCCAGGAGAAGACTGACGCACCGAAGCCGTGCAGCAGCAGTATCGGCAGGCCAATCTGGCTTTTCCGGACAGCGTCTGAGGCAGTGACGATACTATCCGAGGATTGGTCGCTGGACGAGTCCACATCCTCATCCTCATCCTCGTGGCTGCAAACCTTGTGGTGCAGCCTCACGCCGTTGATCTCGTAGAAGCTGCTGTCGGGGTCGCCAAGGGCGTCGGGGTCGAGGAGCTCGTCCTGGTCGATGCCGGCCACGCTCCGGCGCCGCCGCCGTCGGGGCGGCATCTGAGCGCTGTCTGGAACGGATCCTGCATCTGCTCCGGGCCGGGTTCAGTAGTGTCAAGCTGGGGGTTCGTGATTGGGTAAAGTGCAATCTTTTCGCGGCCGGCAGCGACAAAATTCGCAGCCCAAGATGGTGGGACGGAGGAAAATAGAAATGTGAGAAATTATTGACCCAAGAAGACTACATCGTCTTCCTGGACCTGCCGGAGGACCTGGGAAGTGGGAATGGGAACTCAGCAGAGAACGATACCTGGGAACTCAGCGGAGGCGGAGGCGGAAGCTGGAGGAGACCAGCCGGCCTGCGCGCGCGGAGCAGTGCACAGTGATTCCAGCCAGACAATATTTTCCTCTCACAACAATCAATCGGAACGATTTTAACTTATTTTTCAGTCCCTAACCGAACGTACCGTGAGGCATTGGCCCTCTTTGCTTGGAAGGAAATGAAACCCACAGCTGCAAGAATCGCGCGCCAAATGGTTTGAGATCCGTTGGCCCTGTTTGAGATCCATTAAAATCAGATTTTCCGTCCGCGAGAATCGCGCCAAATGGTTTACGGCATACTTGATTCTTTTGACTGATCTCCACAATCATGAGATTGAACAGCATCACGGATTTCCCAGTACCGCAGCTGCAGAGCCAGGGCACGGGCCGCAGACCACCGTCCCAAACAGGGCCATTCTTCCCAAGCATAATGGCAAGAGCAACATCAAGGCAAACATTCACAGGCCAGTGGTGTCAGATACAAGCGGCAAAGATGGGTTTTACCAATGCATGCAGCCATCTCAAAATTTACAAAATACATGGTCAGAGATCATTTAACCACCAAGAAACTGAACTGAGAGCATTACTTCAACCAGACACGACCGAACAATCTTCAGATTTACGGTGAGAGCTCACATCTACTGATATAAATCTAGGAGGTAAAGCCAGGCTAGTTACAAGAGAGAATCAAAGATGGATTTACATGCAATACTTAAAACTGCTTGCTACTTCTCTAACATCAGCAATAATCCTCAAAGTTTCTGGGCTAGCTAAGTTACCACAATGGCATAGGATACTGATACATGAGATTGTCAGATAGGCAGCCGAAAACTGTTCCAAATGCAGTTCCTGGGGCAGATCATCACGATGCATCAATCAGTCCCAAAATGCGCAGTTCATTACTTGTCAATCAGAAGGGGCAGAACCATCAATTATTTTCTTTATCGGCAGAAGAGCTTGGACTTGATGGGTCACCGACCGCATCAAAGTCAATCTTTCGACAAATGCCTGGGCTGAGTTTTAAGACTTTAAGAGTGTGGATGCAATGCCAGTAAGTAGAGGCTTCGAATCAGGTGTCTTACAGCTTTCATGTAGGCTTGAATCTGTCATGATCTCTCCAGTTTCTTCCTGTCAATCAAGAGGGCCATCTAGAATCAATAGATCCAGGATCATCTTGTGAATCACTTGGAGATATTGATCCTCCTCGTCAGAATCACTCCAATCAAAACTTAACCTTTTAACCGGGTAGTCACCTGAATCGAAATTTAGCTTCCTACGAGGTGGAACTTCACCACATCTAGTCACTTTCTTGTTTGGTGCACAGGCCGCTTCTTCTTGTCCTGTAGCGAATGGATCAAAGATGCTTTCACGTGGTGTTTCACAACCCAATGAAAGACTATCATCTGAAGCCCTGCTAGAGATCGACAATTCAAGTATATCTCCCCTTGGAGAGATGGCCTCAGGAACATCAACCTTATTATTTTCAAGATAACAAACTGTACCAAGGCATTCTTTGTCTTCCTTATTTTCCAAGGGAACTAGCAGAAAGGGTTCCTTGCTCAAATTCGCTTCCACCCTTTCCATGGTTATTGAATCACAGCCCACATCTTGTGAGGATTCAACCTCACTCTTAACCACTACATGATCTGGTAGTGATATGGACTCAAATCCCATGATATGGAAAAGAATATTATTGCAGAACAAATGTTGACACAACAGTGATGTTTAAACCGTCCTTTTCAGTCAACCCACCACTGATCTTCAATATATACCAGTGCACTACAACCTGCAAAAAAATACAGATGGTACAAAACTTAATTCAAGATACCAAATAAATTATGCACAAGCACAAACATGAGAAAATATATGAATGCAAAAAGGATTAGTATGTATACCATATGTCAAAACATATATGTTTGAGGCTCAACAATTAATATATGCTGTATGGGAATTATGAACTAAGGCAAACAAGCATTTTTCTTAACCATGTTTATTTTAATCAAGATGTAACCCCACAATTCATCACTAATCCCAGTGTTTCCATAATCCTAACTGCATTTGAGATAAAAATGAAGTCTTTGTTTCCCACATTTAACACCCTTTATTATTAGATTGGGACAATCCCTTGAGCCTTGAAATGAAAATAAATAAATAACGAAGTTATTCACTCATCAATCAAGTTCAACTACGGATACAGGAATATGCCTTTATTGTTGTCCGTAAACTTTTGAAAATCGACAATAATTAACAAATACTGGAAGCATTTTCTAAAGGCCCTGACATGACATGAAACGAAATCACAGTCGTTCAGCTTCAGATAACATTCAGGTCCGAGCAAAAGATAAATCCACTAGCTACCCGAAGAGCATCTCTAACAATGCCTATAAAATGGAGTCCAAAAAACACAGTATTAGATCCTTGCCAAAAAAAATATTGGATGTGAAACCCTTCCTCCAAGAGTGGTCCTATTTTTTGTTCCCAAAAACTTTGAATCATGCCACATCATCCCAGGTGGGCTTTCCTTCCTTTGGACCAGATCAAAGTGTCAGGGCTTTTTTTAACTGCGGCGGGCAAGGTCCACAGCCAGCCAGGGCTATACCAGGCACAGCCAGGCCCAGCCAACGAGCAGCCAGACCTGTAGTAAGTTGACAAAAACAAATATTTTTCACAATACTTGAACTGCATATTACTTCTTCAACTTAAATTGGTCCATCACGTCACAGGTTCTCGGTGCTTCCCATGGATGTTGAATCTTATGGAAGCCATGAGTAGCAGAGTTACTGACATTGGTTCTAATGCAGGATATCATCGCCGCAACTACAGACTGAACTTGGTTACAGCGTTTTGGTTCTGAAAATCTAGTCTCTTTTCACAGTGTTTTTACTAGTATCAGTCCAGTTGAAAGAGAAGAGGCAGGTGTGGAGTCATGCACGGATGGGGGATGAGCCACCTTAGTTCATCAAATCTCTATAAAAAAACATCTCGTTTCAGCAATCATATCATATCTACTGCAAAGGAACACGAACTCGTGTGGCCAATACCTTGATGGTGTGAAACAGTGAAAGAAAAGAGACCATATCTAAAGCAATACCTTGGGGGCAGCTACTAGTGGTGGCTGCAGTGGGTCGGAGACGGCGACACTGGCGCAGGACGACCTCGTGGCGGCGGCGGCGACGGGTGCGCAGGCCGGGGGTATCGGCCGACAGCACCTCAGACGAGGATGGAGCAGCTCGCCGCCATCAGAGGAGAGACACGCTGCTGCGGGCGCGCCGCGAGGAAACTGCGCGCGACGGCGCGAGGACGATGGAGGGCGCGGAATTGTGGCGCGCCTTCGATTTTGGAGCAGACGCCAAATCCCCGATTGGGTGTGCGCCCGTTGGGCACAAATATGCGGCCGAGAAAGGAGGAGGGATTTTGGGCGAGCGGGCTTGTTTGGTGGAGAAATTTTGGAGGAAACTAGGGTTTGCACGAACGCTGTATAAATTTATGAAAGAAAAATACTGTTTTGGATAAAAAAATAAGCGGATCAAATTAAGTTTAAGGACACGCGAACATAGTCATTTAGATATTCATTTTAAGCGGAGTAATTCCTTTCAGATGGCATTAAGGGCAGTCCGAATGCATAATTTCTAGAGTAGTTTACAAGAACAATAAATTACACTTTAGATTCAACTCTTCCAATGCATGGTTTCATCGTTTGTTTCTAAGCCAAAACAAAATTAATGAATTTGTGTGTTTTACAAAGAGAACATGATCAGTTTGTACCAAGGATATATGTAGCACTCACGTGGCCACAAATAAATCTCCAACTCTGATATCCATCCTGTGCTTTGACGATGCTAGTTTGCTTTCTTTCTTTCACGCACAGCTCATAAGCACAGTTGTAGCAAAATAGAGATGGGGAAGCTGACGCCGGAGCACTGCATCGTCAGAGCTGGACTTCTCCCGGGGTGTCCACGGCGAGCTCGTCCTCACCTTTTTCGTCTTCATCGGCGTCGGAACTGCCATGACCGACGGCATGCAGCTAGCTATACCATCGCATCCACGCACACATTCTATGGATGGCACCAATCCACTAGCTAGCAGCTAGATCGATCTCCATATTATTATATGAATCCACTAGTGAGGGCTAGGCGGCTCGACATGGACGACCATGGTCGCCACACCATCCGCCTCACCAACAAGGGCGTGCGCTTCCTCGAGGCCACGATAGACGTTGCGCTTGACGGCATGCTGCCGCGGAGGAAAGCACAAGAGGTGAGACGAGCCTGCAGGTCGTCGACGAACCCTTCGTTGAGCACACCGCGGACACAGCTCCAGCACGAAGGAAGCGAGAGCACACGAGCACGTAGGAAGATGGGAGAGGGACGCGGGAGCATAGGTGGTGCAGGAGATCTTGGCGCAGAAGGAAAGAAACCACCGGTTTCTCCCCAACGCAGCTCGGCGGCTCGTTTCCTCGTGCGAATTTTTTTTAACATTTTTTTTAAACTATTTTCAAATATGACATAGTTTAATATTTTTTTTTAAAACTAACACTTTTAGCCACGCCTATTCGCATGGCGCTGCGAAAATCACGCTGCCACGCCATGCATGGGGCGCGGCAGGAGCAGTGACGTGGCAGCGAGCAGGGCCACTGATGATGTGGCCAGGGCTGCCGTGTCGCGGATCAGGGCACGGCACTGACGCGCCACGGCGCATGGCCTCTCTTCTTCCCTTTCTCTCCATTCCTTTCTCTCTCATCCGCCGTTACCGGACACCGCCGCCACCCTCCCGTCGCGCCCTCCCACGGCCTTGGGCCCTTCACCGCGCCTCCATCCGTCCCTCTATCTCCCCATTCCTGTTTGGCCGTGCCCACCGACGTCGCCCGTGCCCGCCGCCGTGCGCCACCGTCACCCCCTCCCTTGGCTCCACCGCCAACCGCACCTCCCTACCTGCGCTCGCGCCACCTCCCCAGGTGATAGGCTGGGGGTCAGCCCCTTGGCCGCCCACGCCGCCTCCCTTGGTGGGCGGGCGTTCGGCCACCGCCACCCCCTCCCTTGGCTCGTCCACCACCGACCGTGTCTCCATACCTGTGCCCGCGCCCCTCCCTTCCTGTTTGGCCGTGGCCGCCGCCGTCACCCGTGCCCGCTGCCGCGTGCCACCGTCGCCCCCTCCCTTGGCTCGTCCACCGTCGGGCGTGCCTCCCTACCTGCGCCCGCGCCACCTCCCCTGGTGATAGGCTGGGGGTCAGCCCCTTGGCCGCCCATGCCGCCTCCCTTGGTGGGCAGCCTTTCGGCCACCGCAGCCGCCGGCCTCGCCGGTGGCCGTCTCCGTCATCAGGGCTGACCCCCAGGAGCTCTCCCCGTTGTTGCTAAGGTATTCCCCCCCCCCAAGACCCTCATTTTGGTGATTAAATTTTGAATGAATTGATTATAGTTAGTGATTTGGTATAGTTAAGTAGTTAGGATTTAGGATATGGTTAGGTAGTTAGTCTTTAGGTTTTTGTTAGTTAGGATATTGAGTTTAGGGTTTGGTTAGTAATTTAGGGTTTAGGTTTTTGTTAGTTAAGATTAGGGGTTTAGGGTTTAGGCTATTGTTAGTTAGGACTTTGGGGTTTAGGGATTGGTTAGGTAGTTATGGTTTAGTTAGTTTATAGTAGTAATGGTAGTTAGTATAGATACTAGTTTTCATGTGTTGGTACTTAGTAGTGCGTGATACGACGATTTCAACGACTTGATGAAGTTTCCTCAAATGCTTTTGTATATGGATTGTTGTGTCTGAGTTTTTTACGGAGGAAGTGTTAGGAAAGAAGATGGTATGTTTGAGAATATGGAAGAAGAATTGGAATGGTTTGATGAACCTCCTAGCTTCGATGACCTTTGTGTCTGTTTGAATGCAAAGTTTGATGGTGATTTCATAGTGAAGGGGGAGGTTTGATAGTGGGAAGACTAGGGCACACTATGTCCTGATGCCCTTGTGCGACCCTGCTCACTGGTCCCGCTACAATAGGGTGCTCCAAGGTTCCAATGTGCCCATGCCTGAGGTGGTAGCGAAGAATGGGTATAGGATGCAGGGTCTCCAGGACTGGCCATCCAATGACTGTGTTGGAGGCAATGAATAAGAACTACAGGTTGAAGGGGAAGCAATTCAGGGTAACATGGATTTGGACGGTCAGTTGACACAGAAGCAGTTTCATTCAACTCCAGTAGGCTGTATAAGCAATGACTTCGATGTGAATGAGTTCGAACGGGAAAAGGAGCAGGAGGAGGACAGGATCGGTGATGTAGTTAGCAGTGATTCAGACGAGTCTGATGATGACCAAGGAGGTAGAGATGCTATGCCAACACCGGTTGATGCCATGCCAGTACTGGTTCATGCTATGCTATTAGCAGCACCAACTGAGGTACTTTATGCTATGCCGGCTCAGGGTAGACTAGTCACACATTGGCTAGAGGATGATACCCCCTATGATTCATGGGGTAGAATTAGCGAAGCATAGCAGTACGTTCCACCACCACCTTACACAGCGACAGAGCTTATGTAGTTGAGGTCGATGAACGTACCTTTCAGTGGTGTTCCAAACTATAGGGATATCAGCATGACGGATATGGTAGTTTGTGACATCGATCTGCAGATGTGTAGGAAATCATTGTATGACCATGAGAATGAAATCCTTAGCAAGGGGATGATATTCA